AAATACATAAAAAAATATTATCTGTTTCGTCATTTTAGTAAGATCTTTTTAAGTTTTTAAATCCCTGAACGAGAAAGCAGATTGTATGGTGTGATTGTATCGAACGATGTGGTTGAAATCGAGTGGCATCTGTTTCCACACATGATTAAAATTTGAATAAAATTGGAACAGAATTGCCTGGAACTTTTCTTCAGCAGTCGCCTTTGACAAGAGAAATAAAAGCAAAAGAACAACTACCATGTTCTGGTACCTTGAGAAAAAGTCTTTGATGGTTGAAAGACGATAGTTATTATTGACAGGTTGTGCTAAAGACGCTGCATGAACATATCGTCGTACGGACAAAATGTTGCAAAATTTTATTGTCCCATATATTTACGCATTATTAATTAATTTTGTAGGAAGTAATACTGAAGAATGAAGACAATAGTGTGGACATAATGTAGCTTCTAAAAGACTGAATTCTATTCAAAGAGTAACGCCATCGCATTTTACGTCTTTCGATTTTTTCTTCAACAAAATCTCTCAGTAGTTCTCGACCAATCCAAGACATCATTTCAGTAATCTGCCGAAATTTGTTCTATAGATTCATTCAGAAGACATGGCTCATGAAATCTTTGGTGTAGCCACCAATATATGAAATAGATGCATTAGAACCATATTGAGGCTCGTTTACCAATTAAGGAATGTCAAATCAACTTGAATTTTCTACTTGAAAGACTACAATATATATATATGTAATTCAGGAAGAAAGAGAATAAAAAGTATTGTTACAGACTGGTTTTTCCTAGCTTTTGCTACTGAGTTTTAGATGCTATCTCGTTCAGTCATAAATACCCTAGTGAAACTACTCATCAAGCGAGTACGACTTGCCAGCATGAGTACTCAAGTTACTCATACGAGTATTTGAAGAACTTTATGTGTATAAATACTGTGTGTGTACTAATACGAGTACTCATACTAGTTCTTCTTTACAGATTAACTCACAAAAAAGACGCGAGTACTCAGTGTAGTACTCATACGAGTTTTTTCGCAGAATATTTAGTGAAACACTTATACACTTGTATGCACAAAAATAAATTGAAATTATGTAATAAAGAAAAACAATGTAATTTTAAATGAAAAATAGAAAAGAACTGTTTTAATGAATTCTCTATTTTATCCTCTATTACTTCCTGATGATTGGTTTATACGATTTCATTGGATGATGACTTGAAGAAAAAAAAAAAGTGACTTTTCAATTTTAACTGTTAACTTCGCGAGTAAGATTTAATATTGAATTAAACATATTAATCGAAATTCATTCTAGTCTGAATTTCTAAATTTAGATAAAAAGTTCTGTATTAATATAAAGTTTCACAAATTGATGATGGATCGTAATAGAAAAAAAGAACTAACGACTTTGGTTGCAAATCGATTGCAATTTTAAACTATACACACATGAAGACAATGACTATAGAAGCATAATTAATTTTTTACTTTTTTTTATAAATTGTTCAATGATCGTAGATATAAACGATTTTTAAACACTTATCTTTTTTGTTGTGTATCAATCAATACTGAATCTTTATTTGTAATCACATATTTCAGTTTCACCGAATAATCTATCATTTATTTTTCTCTAAGTTTATTTTACTGTCACTTAATCAGTTTGCTGTACTCTTACTTTACAAGATAGAGACAAAGAAAACTTCGTCGTTCATTATAGAAGAAAGTTAGATATTTCTTTATCTCTAGTATTTGTGTTAAAAACTAATGCAGATAAAATAATACTTGTAACTCTCGTATTGATTGTTCTCTCATATTTTTAATATGTAGTATTGTATTTCGTGTTATTAATTTTATATAGAAAATAAAATGGACGTAGTGCAACGGTAATGAACAGAATGTAGGTCTATGAGTATTTTACATAAACGACTAGAGTACTCAAAAACTATATAGAAGTACTCGTGAAGCACTCATTATTTTAAGGCAAGTAATCGATGGTCGTACTCAGATTCTAGCGCGAGTACTCGATAGTCGTACTCAGATACTCAAATTCTAGCACGAGTACTACTGATGAGTACTCATGAGTTCTCGCGGCATTTTCTAGCGTGAGTACTTTTTAAGTACTCTCTTGATAAGTACCTTCGCTAGGATAATCAATAGGAAAATAGAGACCTACATGCTTTACTGAAGAAAATATTCAATAAATAAGAAACTAGTAAAGAGCTCCCAGCATTGAAAATAATATGACCTTATGGTACGAATAAAGGCAAAGTGAAGAGCAAGAATTAATGAGAGAGGAAGAAGAAAGATATTTTTCTGCTTTTTTTTTAAAGATAAAACATGATTGTACAATATTCTGTCCAACTTTATCTTTCGTACTGCAGAACAGTTTAATACCAATTGTTTTTTTCCAGTATTGACTAAGATATAATTTAGATGATTTTCCGAGGAAAGTCCAATTACCACTGAAAGAGTGACTCGACGACGTGGCCTAACTTTACTTTTCCTTGGTCTATTTTGAAAACAATTTTTAATGCATGTTGAACTATATAGAAAGTTGGATCCTATCTTAGATAGACTTAACAACCAATTCTATCATTGCACCGGTCACAGTTGATGACTGAGCTAAAAAAATGTACATTATACGTTCTAAAGAATACAATTTTTCTCAATTTCAATAATACATATTTTTTCGGTATATCTTTGCTTTAATTTACATAAGCCATTGATGTTTCCAGGATCATGTCCGTAGAGAAAGAAAAAAAAATGAGTGAACAATTTTTCAAACAAATACTCTGCATAGCTGAACTCGACTGAAAAATAAGAATCTATCATGTTTTGTAGCGCACATGACTCATATATATGTTTTTACGAAGAAGGAATTTGACGGCTGTTACAATATTTTGTAATGAATGATTAATAGAATATTCAATAAAAAAATGTGGTCGAATCATGCTCCATTGTGCATGAGAGAGATAATCAACATTATTGTGGCAAGTGGTAATACAATCATGCTGCCTGTTCCACCTGGTGGCGTACGCGCCGTAATTATAGGTTTCATACGTCCAATTGCAATTCGTATAAATTGCTCGATGGCAACTTCTGCAATCATGAGTGGAACAAATTCTCGATAGCGCCAAAGTACAATCCATATAATAAATGCCACGATAAGTTGACCACCACCCCATTGACCGAGGAGTGCCACGATGTTTTTACTTCCACTAACATTTAAATTCATTGTCGCAATAGACTGCGCACCACTATCACGAAAGAAAATATGAACAAGACTTCGCAGTGTTCCAATTATATTGAGGAATATCAAAAACCAAACTGCAATATTTGGCCCTGCATAATTATTGCGTGCTGCTGGAAAGAGCATTGAAAAGTCGATTCTTGTATTCATTATTGTTTGATCAATATCTGTCACAAGAATCCGTTCAATTGTATTCTTACAATCAGAGCAGGAAGAATTAATTCGTCTAAATGAGCAGAATAGCAATGAGACATGATAGAAAGGAATCTGATTAAATAATATTAAAGTAAGTGAGTTTACCAATTCTGAGAATGGAGTAGAAGGTCGAGCAGAAAACATTCAGCACACAAGCTGTGATTGAAAAACATATTATTCAAGCTAATGAACAACTTTATGCTCAATAGGCCCTAATTTTTCAAGATGAGTTCTAAGACATAATCTAACAATAGAAACATTTTTTGCTTTTACTTTTTCAGAAATGAATTTACTTGATTCTTAAGCTCAACTGAGATGTATTGCTATAGTGTGATTTTTCAGCATATATCGTCTTTCTAAAATTAGTAGTACAGACGAATAGCATAATCTCATTGCTAATGCTTCAAAAGAAAGCATCAATTATGAGTGATATCATAAAGCAATAATATGTGGGTGTGGGTGTCCGAAGATGTTCGTGTCCATGAAAAAGAATGTATTCCAGTTGAAAAAGAAAAGCTCATCTTGGAAGGTGTGTCCGTAGGTATCTATCTACTATTTTTTTTAAAACTCTATCTATTTTTTCAGCTTTTGCGGTGCCTGTAGATATTTGCATATGTTCCCAATTTTTATAGATACCAAAATATGATTGCTTTTCATCAAAAACTCGAATGTTCTTTTATATAGATGAACGATAAATTCGTCCGTTTTGCAAAAATTATATTAGTGATGTTTCTGAATTTTCCAAAGTTTAGGATTTTTTTCAAAAACGAGTTCTCGTTCTATGGGATTATTGACTGGGATAAGAAATTTAAAAAGAAATTGAGACCTCGATGCGTATTTGATGTCGAAAAGTGATGTGTTTGCTCGTTTCTAAGAGTGATTCATCGATAATTCATCCACTCGATTCTGATTTTGACAAGTACAAAACTAGATCATTCGAGAATCATAAATTTCAGTTGAAATATTTATAATAGGGTAGAATTTCAATGCAATTCGAGCGCACTCTTACATTTGATGCAAAATACCCTAACTCATAGTGAGTGTGAAGATGTCGTCAAATTGTTTATCCAGCGCAATGATAAGTTTTATTTGAATGCTTCAGCAACACAACGAATCATTATCAAATGCAATAGATGTGTCGCCACTTGTATTTCGAAGTCAAGAGTAAGATAGCTATATGATGTTATGCATGAAAAAGAACTTTTTTCCATGAAACTTTATCGCTGATTTTTGCCAAACAAGCATAGCAATGAAGCATTAGATTAATGGATATTTATGTAGAGGTGTCTTCTAGGTAACACAAAATATAATGGTCAACAAAAGTACTCGCTAAAACAAGCAAGCGCTCCATTTTTGTGTCGTCACTGGTAGTGTTACAGATTCTACTTAAAAAATATGAAGCATTTGAATATATCACATTATAGATGTGTCGTTAGTCCATTTACTCAAAATTCATTCGCTGTTTTGTTTTCTTCGTACATCTCCATATAAGTAACTTGCTTGAGCATGTCACATCATACATTTTCACCTGTGTCGTTTTAGATGATTTCTTGATTAATTATTGTTCTTGAACACGTTGAAAAAATCGATCAATGATCGTCAGTGAACTTCCTCGAACAGATCTGATCGAAATTAAACTAACTCAAGCGAGCTAATTTTCAAGAACTTTTCATTTTGAACTCTAAGAATAGATGTTACTAGATAGAAAAAAATGAACAAGTATTAATTATTCTCTATCGTAGAAAAAATGACACAAATTTTCAAGACTAGATTCGAACTACGTTTCAAGAATATAACTTCTATTCTGTGGAGGCAATTTAAACGAAAACTAAATAAAATTCAAAAAATAGTGATTAATTATTTTGATAATTGACTCCGAATCTAAGATGAGATCACGACAAATGTATATACTAAGCGAATCAGTAGAGTCTAATGTAGTTTTTTTAAAGTTTTTGTATCAATTCAATTAATAAGTCAAATAATAAGCATAACAAAGATTCGAACAATATCTATTATTTATTTATTAACTAAATTCATCAATAAAAGAAACTTAAAATTTTTTGTCCTTTTTTAAAGATTCTCTATTGAAGTGTTCACTTTGAATCATCTAATTTCTTGATCATTCGATATCATTATTGTTCTAACTGTCAATAGTCATCGAAAGAAGATGATGTTATTACTACTATTTCATTACCTTTATAGATCATCGTATATAATTTGTGTTTTTTTTTCTTTCGATCATTTTTATCTCCATAGCGTGTTTATTATAAGAGGTGATAGGGTAATTTTTCTCATAGTTATCAATTATTCTTTTTGGTTATATAAAACTGACATATGTTTAAACATTTTTGGCATAATAATGGAAGCACCAATTACTTTTTTACCATTATATGTCATCATTCGACTTCCACTGATCTTTTTTTTTAACGGCTGAGATGCTGAAAAATAAAAGACATCAAAATTCTATTAGTCTTCAATGAACTTTGAACGTCACGTAAATAGGATTTTGGGTTAAAAAGAAATTAAAAATTCTTTTTTTGTATTCTTCAAAAATCAATATTCATCATAATATAGCAAATAATCACAGCTGTACATTTGATTCGATATCATATGCGATGACAAATGTTGCAGATTTAATTGACTGTTCTTCTGATTGGATCACATCTAAATTTGTCTTGATGATATGAAGAGACAGAAAATTTTGTATAAATTTCATTGATGTACTCTTTTCAAATTTAGTATTTCGTTATTTAATCCCACACTCAATCCTAAATATTATGTCGATAGAACATTAATTACTTAAAATCAAATATACATAATATCGAATTTCAAGTTTAAATAGGATTAGATTAAATTTGAAATAGTAAAAAATGCAATGCTTTTTATGTGGTATTTCAAATGATAACTAATCTTTAAAAAATGAGATATATTAAACATTTTATTATTGAAAATAAAAGGAACATAGCAGACTGATTAGTTTCCGTTTCATCGAAAGCTTAATTGGTTTTCCCATTTCTTTGAGAATAAATTTGTTTTTATCAGAAGATGATGCATGAAATGCTCTTCGAAACTAACATGAGAAGTAATGAAAAGCAAACAATTGTGAAAACCAGATATAAAAACGCTGATTAAAACAGTGAAAATCTATTATAATTTTAATGGTGTGATTCTATTACGAATCATTGAATCACCCATAAAAAGAGTGCGATAGTATTGATGCTATCAATTTATTACACTTTCCTAGTAGTCCATTTACGGGTCAGACAAAAACCGATATCTCGACAATGAAATTGATCTTCGCATACAAGCAGTGATTGTCGACAGTAAAGCTTGCTACTGAAATGAATGAATATTTCAAGAAGCATACAGAAAATATTAAGTATAAATCTTGATTGTTTAACATGCAAAAAGATTAAGAGATCAAAATCTACTGAACTTCGCTAGAAGAAAAGAATTAAGTTAGAAAATAGAATGTCTACAGGATGGCACTCGATCTAAGGTGCAACACTTAAGTCAAAAATGGTTTTGTTCATCTTTTTTATTCATTCATTGTAAAGAACTGGTAGCCATTGAATTGATCTAATTCAAATCTGTTGGTTCATAGATTATGGAACTAACCGATTGAGCTTATGGAGTTGAGATCATATTATAACAAATGCAACATGAATAAACGAATTTCACTTATTAATATTAGGTATGAGAGTATAGGCGAGGTCTGTTTTTTTGGCTGCATCCACCACATTTCACACTCTGCTCGTTGAGCATAATATGCATCAATAAGACATCTATAAAAGAGTAAGTTTGGCTTGTTTATTTCTTTTATTTGCTTTTTACAAATCTTTAAAAAAAAGACAGATTCTGTCATCAACAATGTTTCTAATCGTAGTATTAACGTCTTTTTTTATATTGTACTCGATAAAGACGATTGTTACCATCTTCAGAAAATAAAAGACTACCATCT